ATTACACAACAATATACAGTACACATACAACACAATTTGGCACAATCACAGAACAGACATAGAAAAACCGACATATCACACTAACATGCGCATGTAACAGAAAAGACCCACTGCTACATGCTTGCTGGGAGCAGTAGTACCGACAAAACACTGCACAGACTATATGCACACAAAGGTCTTACAACAGTTAACGATTAATCGAAACCTTTCAGCACTGTAATAATTACCTCACCTGGAGGGAGGTAAAGCAATTACCACAGTACCTACAACCCGCAAATACTTACCTAAACTATGCCAGAACTTTTAACCCGCTAAAACATATACCCGTTTAATTTTTTTGGTTGAAAGATTTTTAAACTTGACCAAATCCAGCCAACCAAACCCACCCCTCTGCTGCTTTTAGCAGAGAAAAACCCTTGTCTTTCACCCACAAATCAATTTTTAGGACGACTAGGTCCTTGCTAGGCGGAATTCACGTTCGCTAACAGAGAGCGAAATTAGCCACACAAAACGCGCAAAAGGCGATCTTCTTAACCGTAGAGAGACCTGAAATGTGCCGGCATACTTTTTGCTAGTTCATGATAGCTCATTTCCCCCCTCATAGTTGGTTAGCTATTGCAGAATTCGTGTTAGAATCCTCTGGCTCGCCAAAAATGTCTTGGAAATTAGCTTTCAACGAATTTCTCCTTACCGTGAGTACCTGCAGTTGGATGAGCAGCAATCCCCCATAAAGCTGTGCGAACTTCGCTTACTGCGACTGCAGCTTAACTCCACGATTCCTGCACCTCCAACTGGTGTGCAAAGGTTTAGCTCTTTTGAGATGTGGGGAAAATGGAGCTCACGTGATCCAGGAATCAGACGATACTCCCAGGTTGGAGTTTGAATCCACTCTGCCTGGCTCTAAACCCAGACTTCTGTTTTATTCTCTTACAAAAATACACGCCCCCCCGCACAGGGGTCAGGTCAATCCCCTCCCACAGAACAATGTATAGCGAGTGTCCATACACGAGAATGTCCATCCTGCTCGGAGTGTAACGTTCCCTCTTAGCTATACTGAAAACCAGTTCTCCCCCCCCGGTAAGCTCTTTTTGGAGAGCAAGTTTCCCATCATTTACATGCTATCAGCTCCTAGCAGTATGTTAATTGTCTGTACAAGCATCCCCTAGATTAAACAGTGTCAGTCTGTATCTGAATGGGCCAGATACGATCTTTATTAAAACACATCCATCCAGATACAGTTCAGGTCGGCAGCGGCTTGTAGAGATATACATGAGCCTACACGCTGTCAGGGATGCGGGTGTGACCAGAAGTGTGTGGACTCACACAGGGAAACGTAGGCTTCAGATATAGTAAATAATATAATTTATTGAGACTAACAATACAAATATAAACGCAGTGCACCAAACCCCAAGCTAACACAAATACATACAACAAGGTGAAACAAACCCAAACTAAACTGATATAGATACACAGGTACATACACATATAGAGCACAACGTAGTCAGGCAGGCCGGGTCGATAACTATCGGGCAGGTAGGTACAGGAGGAGCAGGCGGAGAGAATGGTCAGGATCAAACAGGAGAAGTCAGCAGAGGTCAGGATCAGGCAGGGTCGGCAACAAGTCAGGCAGAAATAGGAACAGAAATGCAGGTTACAAGATACAGGGGCCCATGGAAAAACACACACCAAGGCCCTGACTGTGAGTCTGGCCATTCCTTAAATACAACCCCTGCAATCAGCTTTAGGTGTTTTGGCTGACTGCAGGGGTGAGTCTCTGATTGCTGAGAGCACCCGCTGGCCAGCCCTGGTACTGCAGCCCACAAGGCAGGTGAGTCCCACTGTTATTGGCAAGTCCATTCCTGACACACGCGGAGTTCGCACTGCCCGGCGCCTGGCCATACAAAGTCCATGTGGTACTATGCTGCTGATATGTGGATACAGGCCTACCGCTGGCGGCATTGGCATCGAATGCCGTGGTGGCATACACGCCAGTCTATAAGCGCAGATCTGCCATCTTATCCATTACTGAGCTGAGTACTGTAATATATACATTGTAAATGAGCATGACATATCCAACTGGGAGCAGATGGCGCGCCAGAACCTGGACACAAACTGACTCCCACGGTCCGAGACAATCACCTTAGGCAACCCATGCAAGTGAAAGATCTCCCTGGCAAAAACCGTGGCCAGTTCCTGCGCAGTCGGCAACTTCTTGAGCGGAACACAATGGCGCATCTTGGAAAAACTATCAATGACCATGAGAATGACCGTATGGCCTCTGGACGCAGGGAGATCCACAATAAAGTCCATGCCCAGGTGCGACCAAGAACGCTCCCCACTGGGAATGTGTTGCAGAAGACCCAGTGGAAGATGCCGAGAAGATTTGTTCTGGGCACAGACAGAACATGCCGCTACATATGAGGCAATGTCGGAACAGAGAGATGGCCACCAGAATAAACGAGAAACTACCCAGGACAACTGGTTCCTCTCCAGATGACCGGCAGTCTTGGAATTGTGGTAGGTACGCAGCAGGCGGGTGCGCAATCCCTCCGGTACGAAACATCTACCCTCTCAGGAGCAGCATCAGTTTGAGCCGCCAAAATCTGCTCCCCAAGGGGAGAAGTCAGGCTGGTACGAATGGCAGCCAGGGTCTGATCCGGAGGTATGACCGAGGTCGGCTCAGAGTCCTCCCTGGACAGCTCAGAGTATTGCCGCGACAATGCATCAGCCCTGACATTCTTAGAGCCAGGCAAATAGGAGACCACATAGTTAAAACGCGACAAAAACAAGGCCCATCTGGCCTGACGGGCGTCAATCTCTTAGCCTCCGAGAGATACGTCAGCTTCTTGTGGTCGGTGAGAATGAGGACCGGGACAGCAGAACCCTCGAGCAGGTGCCTCCATTCCTTGAGAGCCTGAATAATGGCCAACAACTCCCTGTCTCCAATCTGGTAGTTGCATTCTGCAGAGGAAAGCTTCCTGGAGTAGAACCCACAGAGAAGTAAGGGTCCGTCGGGCGACCGATGCTGAGACAGGACGGCGCCTACTCCCGCCTCAGATGCATCAACCTCGAGGACAAAGGGCAGCCCAGGATTGGGATGAGACAGTATCAGAGCCGAAGCGAAGGCGGATTTCAAAGCCTCGAAAGCTAAGATGACCTCGGGTGACCACTCGTGGGGGGTTAATGCCCTTCTTGGTCAGATCTGAAAGGTTTGGCCAGCGTGGAGAAGTTCCTGATAAACTTCTGATAATAGTTGGCAAAACCCAAAAAGCGCTGAATGGGCCGAAGACCATTGGGACGAGGCCACTGCAGAACCGCCGAAACCTTCTGAGGGTCCATGGAAAATCCCACCACGGAAATGATGTAGCCCAAAAAGGCAACCTGGGATCGGTGGAATTCACACTTCTCGAGCTTACAGAAAAGCTCATTCTCACATAACCATTGCAGCACCCGCTTGACATCCTGGATATGCGACTCAATAGAGACAGAGTAAACCAGGATGTCATCCAAGTAAACCACCACGCACTGCTGCAACAAGTCACGAAAGACATCATTGATGAACTCCTGAAAGACCACGGGCACGTTACACAACCCGAATGGCATCACCAGGGATTCATAGTGGCCGGTTCTAGTGTTAAACGCGGTCTTCCACTCGTCCCCCTGCTTGATCCATACGAGGTTGTACGCCGCCGTGAGGTCGACTTTAGTAAAGACCGTTGCTCTCTTGAGACGGTCGAACAACTCAGTAATCAACGGGATTGGGTAGGCATCTTTAATCGTGATTCGATTGAGACCCCTATTATCAATGCAAGGCCTAAATTCACCGTACTTTTTTTACGAAGAAAAAGCCATCTCCTGCTGGGGAAGTGGACTTGCAAATGTGCCCCCGGGAAAGCGCATCCGCAACGTACTCCTCCATGGCCTGATTCTCCGCAACCAAAAGAGGATACACCCTGCCATGAGGAGGAGTGGCACCGGGTTGCAAGGCTATGGCGCAATCGTATGGACGATGGGGAGGCAGAGCACCGGCGCGCACCTTGTCAAACACGTCCAGGTACTCCCCATAGTCAGTGGGCAACACAGAGTCCAAGGAGGCGCACAACACGTTAACCGGCCCACGGATGCAACCGGCCCCACACTGTGGAGACCACTAGAGAATCTCAGCCGTTTGCCAATTAAAGGTCGGATTGTGCTTCTGAAGCCAGGGATATCCCAAAACCACGGAATAGTGCGGAGAAGAAATTACCTGGAAACAGGCCAACTCGCTGTGAACAGCCCCAATAGCTACTTCAACCGGCAGGGTCTCGTGGGTAACCTGCGGCGGTTGCAGGGGCCTGCCATCTATCTCCTCGAGAACCAATGGGGCAACTCGCGCCTGCAGGGGAATGGAGTACTGGGCAGCAAATGACCTGTCCATAAACAACCCACAAGCACCAGAATCTACCAACGCCTGAGTCGTCACCAGGCCCTCCGCCCAAGAGAGGACAACAGTGATTAGAGATTTATCTTTGCAGGACAATGGAGACGAGGAAACTCCACCCAAGATCTGCCCCCGACAGGATCTCAGGTGTGAGTGTGTTCCCGGACGGACCGGACAGGACTGCCGAAAATGCCCACCAAGACCACCGTACAGGCAGCGGCCCTCCCGGCGCCGAGAGGCCCGCTCCTCCTCAGAAAGGCGAGCAAACCCCAGCTGCATGGGCTCACCGCCAGACAAGCCATCCCCAGGAGGCGTGGGAGGAGAGGGAGGCACGGGTGGGACAGAAAACGTAGGCACCAATCGGTTAGGAGGCCTCCGCAGACGCTCCTTAAAATGAAGGCCTCTCTCTGAGCCTGGTGTCAATCAGGATCAGGAAGGAAATGAGTGGGTAGTACGGCTCTCCGTACTATAGGGGAAGGTCTACCTGTGCCTAGGTGACTCCCATCCAGGAAGAGGAGAACTTGTTGGACTTGTACAGAACTTCGTCCTATAGGAGTGACTTCATAGGCCATTCCATAAAATGGAGGGCAATTCCAAGCCTCTTACTGGCCTTGCATGGACATCTGGCCAGTCACTGTGTCCTAAAGGCCACAACATAATTGTAGCCACCGTGGAAGGAGCTTCTGCCAATTTTCTGAAGGGATTTAATCAGAAATCTGCTCTGTATCTGACTTGCACCACAGAGTCAACATCGGAGAATATAGAACAAGTAATTGCAGATGTTATGATATTGAATGAAAAGTCCCCTCTACCGGTTGGATATGCTTTTATTGGGGAATACATTGATCCTAAGATTACAGTTCCAAAGAAGAAAAGGTTCTGCATGAAGCTGACTCCCATACATACTACAGAATCTGCCATCGCTGATCTTAAACTGACTGTGAAAAATAAGTCGCTTGGAGCACCATATACACGACTTGGTGAGATGAGTGGCCTGGCTTTATGGTGCAAGAAGGTTCCAGTAACTGCCCCCAAACCAACACCAAAACCTCGAAATATTACGACGGGTGTCAGAGGACTCTCTCTAGACAACGAAAATCCTGCTCAGCCAGTCACAAATCAAGCTCCTGTTCCAAAACTGAGTCGAGGACCTTCCATCACTGAACATCCTACATATGAGTCCAATGTCTATGGGATATCTGCTGTTGATGGAATTCCATTCACAATCCACCCAATGTTTGACAGCATAATTGTCGAGCCTTCTATAATCTCACCTAGCTTCCATGACCTTCGAATCAAAACCCTGGCTGACATTGAAAATGAGTACAACTATGGATTTGTGGTGGAACGTACTGCATGCACTAGATGACGCTGGATACACTGATATCAGTAGACCCTCTAGTAGCCAAACAGCAAACAATAGATATTTAGTCCCATGCTTTCAGTGCAGGTGCTCTATAGTGCAAGCACCATCTGTTATCTGCTCCCCCATCAACTTTGAGATGTGTCCTATTTCCATGGATGGTGTATGATGTCAAATCACACACTAGCAAAAAAAAAACCTTTTTATGGACTACCACTTATCTCTTAAGCTGGCCATACATGGGTCAGATTTTCTTCTTCAAAAAACCTGTCCCTGTTCCCTCATCCACGCATTTGATGTGAATGGAGGAATCATCCCCGCTGCGTCATTGTACTTTGACAATGTAGAGACTCCCCTGCCATCAGAATACACAGGTCAGTGCTGCAGCCTATTGTCTGCAATGCTGATAAAGCGAAAATATACAGACAGGGCGATTAAACAGAAGACGATTGGTGGCCACACATGGATCAAAATTCGGCCGCTAACTGCTGAGCTTTACTCTGTCTGCCTTTAGGCAATTCCTGCACTCATCTGATCAAGGAAGCCTGTCCCACCTCTACTGAAATGTTAATTCTTGAACTACTTATCCCATACAGCTATTACTTTTTGTATCTCTTGCTCTTCCTTTTGGATTGTAAGCTCTAATGCACAAGGCCCTCCTAACTCTCTTGTATTGTAACTGTACTGCCTCCATTTATTCTCATCCATGGATGGACACGGGACGTCTATTACTACAACCTGCAGGAGGGTTTGACATTGACAGACAGACAGAACTGTAGGTCAGCGCAGGATCCCCCCCCCCCTCCCTTACAACCGGCATGCCTCAGTTTTTTGCTAGTGTCCTAGAAGGAAGGACATATTGGGGAGATTTAATAAAACTGGATCACTCAGAATCGGGTGCGGCTTTGCATGTCAGCCAATCAGCTTCTAACGTTAGCTCATTTAATTAAGCTTTGGCAATAAAACCTGAAAGCTGATTGGTTTCTATGCAGAGATGCCCCGGATTTTGCACTCTCCAGTTTTAGTAAATAACCCCCTGTGCTTTCAGCTCTGCAGTGTTTAAGACTAATCTGTAGGTATTCTAGTAACTTCTCTAATCAAGACTCTTCTCCATGTTGTCACTGGTGTTTCCTACCTACTCACAGTTCTCCAGCACAATCATCCTCAGCCTGGCTCGTGGACTGTAAAATTATTAGGACACATTTCAGAAAATAAGATGCAGTCAGTATGGCTGATGCACTCCACAGAACAACTGTGCTGATAAGTGTACATCCTCTAGGTCAGCGGTCTCCAAACTGCGACCCGAGGGCCAGATGCGGCCCGAGGGCCAGATGACACTAACAATGGGGCCCAATGACGCCAATGCGGGGGCACAATTCCTCCCTCTGACAAAAACAATGGGGCACAATTCCTCAAAATGACACCAATGATGGGGCACAATGCTCCCACTGACACCAATGATGGGGCAAAATTCCTCCCACTGACACCAACAATGAGGCACAGTTCCTCACAATGATGGGGCACAATTTCTCCCACTAACACGAACAATGGGGCACAATTCCTCCCAATGATGGGGCACAATTCCTCCCACTGACACCAACAACAAAGCTTTATTCCTCCCAATGATGGGGTGCAATTCCTCCCAATGATGGGGCACAATTCCTTTCAAGGACACACAGGATGGGGCAATATTCCTCCTAATGCCACCAAGGATGGGGCCACAGTCTGGCCCCCCAAAAATCTGAAGGATAGTAAACTGGCCCTTTGTTTAGAAAGTTTGGAGACCCCTGCTCTAGGACATCTTTAGTGCTGTCATATACTCTTGTCCCAGAATTCCCCCTAACCCCCCTCCCCTCCATACACACATACAATGTAAATGTACATATATTATATTTATGGAAGAGTTTCCTGAGAATTATGTTACAAGATTCTACAAGATGTCTTCTCTTTGTAAGAACCCATTCACACGTGTGCAACTTGTTATGCAACTTCAGATATTAAAGTCGCATGCCAAGTCATACCCCATGATTTCCAATGATAACTATTCATTTATGTGCGACTTAAAGTTGCAGCAACTTCCAAGTAGTTCGCTACTTTGGTCTGACTTTAATGCAACTTGAGGGCCATAGACTTCCATATGAACCCTCAAAAGTTTCATGAAAGTCGTACCTGAATGGTTTACATGCAAAAGAAGTGGTTCCGACTTTGCAGAAGGATAAGTCACACCCTTCCAAAGTTGTAACACACTTTGGAGTCGTACAAGTGTGAATGGAGCCTAATGGTTACTCCGGTTAGAGCAGGACTATAGACATACAAGAGTAAGGGCCGCTTCTTCTTCTACTTGGGTGATTTTAATGTAAACCCAACATCAGATATATGCTTTTATGTTAAGTGCATGCTTGCAAAGTAATATGTAAATGTAACACTTTCAGGTATTTATTACCTCTCACCTACGTAGATCACAGTACTTCCTATACATACCTTTATCTGCTTTTGCCATCAGAACACCAGAGCTATAATTATTCAGGCTTTTAGACTGAGATGCTGGCTCAGAGATGACACAATTATGTAAATTCTGGTTCCTGTTCAGTTTTTGTTTGTATTCACAAATGTTTGATACAGATCAGCCCCTGCTGCAACCTCTCACCTTGTAACTTACTCACAAGTTACATTGTTACAGGCTGATCACTTTAGGAAAGCGAGTACATGCTTCCCTCTGCCTGGAGCAGAGTGATGGCAGCATCTTCGCCTAGACCAAGTCAGCTGACTGGAGATTAAAACGGGACTAAACGCACCTATTTATCTTTCCCAAAAGAGCGCTTGTTAGAAATGTTTAATAAATTGAATGCCTAATCAGAAAAATAAAAAAAAAAAAAAAAAAAAAAAAAAAAAAAAAAAAAAAAAGGAAGGAAATGAGTGCCTCTAGCTCCACAGGCAGTTCTTTTGCTGCAATCTCGTCCTTCAATGCATCTGAGAGACCATGAGAGAAAGCAGCCACCAAAGCCTCATTGTTCTAGCCTACCTCTGCCGCCAGGGTACGAAATTCTATGGCGTACTCGGCAATGGTCCGTGAACCCTGATGCATGGACATGAGCAGCTTAGCAGCTGAGGCGGAGCGAGCACGCACATCGTACGGAAGGAGGCAATGAAACCGGCAAACTCGTGAATCACCGGGTCATTCCTCTCCCATAAGGGATTTGCCCAGGCCAAGGCTTTGTCAGAAAGCAGCAAGATTAGGAAGCCCACCTTTGACCTCTCAGTAGGAAAAGCGTGGGGTATTAAACACAAAGTAAATGCCCACTTGGTTAAGGAAACCACGACACTGACTCGGCTCACCCCCAAAGCGCTGTGGAAGAGGGACAGAGCCAGGTCATACCTCTGGGCACCGCAGGTGCAGCAACAGATGCGGAGGTAGGCGCAACAACCGGAGCAACAGTGGGAGCGACAACCGGAGTGACAACCGGCCTAATAGCCCCAGGCGTAAGGTGCGCTGTGCATGCAAGCAGAGTCTGCAACGCCTTAGCGAACTGATCCAACAAGAGATCCTGTTGATCAAGTCTGGCGACTAACAAAGGAAGCGAAGGCATACCTGCACCATCAGGATTCATGGTATTCGTGTAGTGTCAGGGCCAGAGCAGGGGAATGGACAGGCAGGCCTTATGGTAAGGTCATGCACCGACTGGCGACAGCCACCACCCACAAACCGGAATCCCTCAGGGCGCAGAGTCTAAGCCACAGGCTGCCTTTCACCAGGGCCCCTGATGCTGGGGATGGACTTGACGCAGCCTGAGACCAGGTCACGACTCTCGAGTAACCCCAGCTGCGGTAACGGCTGCCACCAATGGCGTATATCTGGTAGGAGCCAGATGGGAAGATGTATAGCGTGGTCAGACAGGCCGGGCCTATAACAGCGGAGCAGACAGTACAAGACGGTAGGCAAGAATACTCAGGTCACGGTCCGGGTTCAGCAACGGGAGGTCAGGTAATGGGATAAGGCAGAGAAATGTCTTGACAAAGCCAAGTCGGTTTCCAGTAGAGCAACGAGAGCAGAACAAGAGCTTGCGGCAATGAAACATACAGGACACGAATGCAAAGAGCAGCTGCAGACAGCAGGCTTAAATGTGATCGCCCACACCCTCCTGGAGGAGGAACCGCAGAGGCCTGAAAGCATAAAGGCTCCCACCTTGCTTTGCAAAAACCTAAGATGGATGCCAGCACATGAAACAGCACAAGCTCTGAGGAAAGGTAGGACCTTGACAATGCCAAATTTTTTTTTTTGGACAGCAGCAACAAGTAGATAGTCAATTTCTTGGTGGGAAAAAAAAAAAAAAAAAAAAAGCAGGATTGATACTGTTAAAATAGAACAGACCTGCTCATGAGAGCTTCCAATCTAAAAGATATTACTTCTAATGAACTGTGCTTTCACAGGTTACAGCAGGAAACAAACGGTTAATATTAATCACTTAGTAGGCTTATCTATCCACAAACAGGCCGCAGATCAAAATATCAATATAAAAATACATACGTGCCAAAATAACAAACACCTCCCACCTCCCCAAATCCCCCACACATACATTTCTCATCAGGTTTGTCTGAAAACTGCATTTCAGTCTAATTAAGCAAGCAAACTATAGCCAAGTGCAGACCTGGAAGAGCAGAGCAATTGACTTGTGTTAGGATTACAATGCAAAGATAATAAACACAAAATCATTGTACAATAACACACAAACACACTTTAGAAGGAAAAAAATGCAAAACGTTTACAGCCCCATCAAAACAGAGCGTGAGTGTGGTCTGGGGCAATTCACCACAATATCTCTTCCTCCCCAAACCACCACAGGCAAGGACTTGCTGAAAATAACCTGGCCTATTACAAGGCAAAAATCACCCACTACTGCAACTCTTTATATAACAGACCACACCCACCACTGTCATTCATTTGGTCAGAGAAAGTGTTTTCACCTGATGAATCCTCTTCCCACCTGTGTTAACCCTTGGTATACAGG